ATAAATAATTTCAAACAAACAGACGAGAGAAAAGTTTAAAAATATGCCCAACAATCCACCAAAACCTGACAACAACTCAAGTTCGGTAAAAGCTACCAATTTGTGAAACTCCCTCATAACTTGTGTTTTGCAGTACAAAACCAACCTTGTAGTAGGAAAAAAACTGATGCCAAAAACAGCTTTTTTATTGATGACCAAATACTTGCATTTCGACATAGCCGTGTTATATTCAATCAGCTTGCATGTCGGAAGACATTGGCAATCAGTATACCTACAAATAATACACATTTCAATGATAAAACTATAAAAAATGCGAACCATAACTGGTTAAATAAACATTAAATTAACCCTAAATTAAGGTTATTTTGTATAAGTAATATTACTAACTAATTAAGTGGGTCGTTTTCAAAAAACACCCGCCTTCCGCTGTCCGTAAGTTTGAATTCCATTAACTTTGTTAAAAATTATCGGATCTTATTGATTTAAAAACCAAGTGAAAGCCTAACAAGCCCTTAGTAAACTCTTTCAGAAAATTTTTGTTTAGTTAGTTCAGAATAATTTTTTTTTTAACTTTGAAACTTGTGAAACACACATTTTCGCATGTCCCATTAGCGTTTTATAAAACTTACATCCATGTTTTTTTAAATATTGAATAACCAGAACTTTGTGTTGCTTTATAGCAATCCATAACATCCTTAGTTAATACAGTAAACAATTTATATATATAGTATATTACACTACAAGGGCAGAAAGTGTGAGATTCCTGCACTGCGCGCCATGATGCCCGAGGCGAAGCCGAGGGCATCATGGCGCGCAGTTCAGGGCTCTCACACTTTCTGCCCGTGTAGTGTATACTATTTTTCTTGCTACCCCCGCAGAAAATACGGGAAAAAATTAAATGTATATAAAAAAACTTGTGTCAAAATTAAAATCTGACGTTTAATTTAATTCTGACGTTTACATTCAAAATCAATCAAACTGTAGCGTTGTCATGGTAATTCAGCGGTGCCAATACAGTAAAAATAAAAGGTTGTATTTTAATTAACAAATTACTACTTTATAACAAATAAAAGTACCATTAAACACTTAAAACAACATAAAAAGTAAAAAAAGTAAAAACATAAATTGTTTATTTGTTGTTATAATTGCAAAATTATGGTTTAAAACTGTCATATTTTTGTGTTTCTCATGTTGGCAGTACGAAATTTGAATGTTAAGCACACGACTAAAAAATTTTTACTCCCGCTATTAGAGTGTGCGCGTATAGCTTGACCAATGCAAGAAACGTAAACTTTCTGCCGTGAAATCGGGGACGAAACAACGTATTTTGAGTCGAGGTAGTAAGAAAAAATAATTAATTTTAATCTAATTTTTTTAAATTTGACTCATGTCCCAGACATTTTTTCCGTTGCATTACGTCCGTCGCGTTACCGAGAGAATATTAAAAAAACATATATATGGCAACTTTTTTGGTACTCACGTGATCAACAAATGATGTTCGGACGTACACATAACCCAGCTGAATTTATTTATTTAATCAGGAATAAGATATCGGTTGAAACAGGTGCGGGTAAAGCGAATGTAATAATTGTTTGTCCGCTAAGTTACTCAAAAAAATAATAAAAATAAGGTAAGAAAAAATACTATTTTTTATGTTTATGTTTATTTTAGGGCACTAAAGCTCATTAAGAGTAATTAATGACTATAATGTCTTATTATTGTTTTTTAAATATGGTTTTACAAAACTTTGTCCACTGCGTTACCGAGTCCACTATGTTACCTTATGGTAACGCAATGGAATTTAGGGTAACGCAATAGAATTTTTCGACAACAAAGTGGATATTTACCGTCGCTTTTATTAGAAGTAGTTTATCATTAACCAATTTAAAATTATTTGTAATTACAACTCATGATATAGATTACATCCAAGGAAAAATTCCACGCAATATAAAAGAACTAATAGGGACCTTCACCAGCTTATAGTCAAAGAAAAAGGGTGTCTACAATTCAGAAATCTAAGTTGTTATTCTGCAAGTTAGCACCACTACAAGGGATTTTGTTTATGCATTACTCTAAAATCGTACCACGCTATATAGTTTCTTTTTTACGTTATCTGATTAAGTCCTTTGCGTACCCCTGTCCGTTGTGATACCAATGTCTATTTCGATACTTTTTTTAGTTTTTGTTAAAAAAAATACTTAAAATGATTTTTATACACTATCACTTGGTAATACTAATATTATAAATTAGAGTTTAATTCACTAAAAAAAATATTAATGGTATAGTTTTTTTTAACAAAGAATCGGAATGGTTTCTTTTAAAAAGTAACTTAACGAACATACATATTTAAAAAAAAGCATACAATTTTTAATAAAAAATAAAATAAAAAATTGGAGTCAAAAGTTTGTGAACTAAGTACATTTTATTTCAAATTATTTTTATAACAACTTTTTTATTGAATTAAATTTTGGATTTCAAATTGGTAACACAGTGGAGATACATAAAGCTAGCTAAACACATTTTTCTGAAAAAAGCTGTCTTAAATGTTAGTAAACAAAACTCTAAACATTTATAAAAATCCAACCAAAAGTCAATTTAAGCAAAAAAAATATTTTGATCTTCATTTTCCTGAAAGCGGGTGTTTCTTAAAAATGACCCAAGTAGTTAAGCTGTAGGTAAATTTGGGTTATTTCTTATTTTTAAACAAAATATTAACTAGTTAGTAATATTACCAATAGGTTTTTTTATTAGGTAAATTTTACTGAAAAATAACCTTTAATTTACCTTAAGGTTATAGCAACCGGTTGGTAAATTTAAAGGGTTATTTTTTAATTCATAGTATAAGGTTACAACCTTAAAGAAATGTTAATGGTTGAATACAACTAGTTGGTCAAAAAAAAACGATATTTTACTTAGATTTTCATTAATTTACTTAGAATTCCAGTTATTTAACCAGTTTATGATGAAAAATTTATTTACGTTTCTGAATTAAAATGTTTGAAAATAGTTTTGGCGCAAACTATTTTGTTCGGTCCACAAATTTTCATATCTTTAGTGAAAGGCATAAAAAATTGCACACAATCGCATACGGCCAAAGTTAAGTTGGCCTGGCATTCCATATTACAGTTTGCTTGGGTATAAATTTTGTAAAACCTAAAAGAGTACAGGGTTTTGTTAAGAGGCTCTCTTTACTTTTCATACACGGAAAAAATGTTTTCTAAATGTAAGAATACCTTTTTTCTCAAAAAAATTCACTTGATTTTAGTATAATTTATTTCTTAGCTTAAAATCAATTACAGTTGAAACATTCAACTTAACATTAACATTAATCTTTCTTTAAACAAGCAGATTTTATTCTTGCCTGTTAAATGTTAAGAAAGACTTTAAATGAAATATTATTGGTACGACTGGCCTATTCCTAAAAATATCCCCCACTCACGAAAGTGTCCGACATTTTGGAAGATTGTTTCTTGTGTTAGTTAATATTTGGTTTGGAATTATGAAAGAGTTGCTAAATTAGTGGAATTTGATAGAATTAACCACCAAATGTATGTGTAGGTAATAATTATTACATAATTATATTTATGTGTGTAGTATAGTATTATGTATTGAATTTTAGATGTTGGAGTGATTTGGATTATTTAAAAGACTGTATAATATGGTATTTAAAAATGTGGTAGTTTTTCTTATCCAGCTTAAAGTGTACCTACATAAAGTTTTGTCAATACAAATAGTTAAAAAGCTTCGACTTAATTTGATCTACATCAAAAAATCATTATAACTTTAAAAATTTTAATAAATCACATGTCATGGGAGTATTAAATATTTTCCCATTGCAAGTTTCTCTAAAAATTGTTTGTTTTATTATAATCTAACTTAAAGTAAGTATGCCGAGAGGTATGCACAAGTTTTGTCATTAGAAGTATAAAAGCTTCAATTTAATTTGAACCATATTCAACAATTATTTAGTATAGGTACCTATATTTATTTATGACCATATTAACACACTCTTCCAAATAATCCACTTATTTATTTTGGTCAAAATAGATTTTTCTAACCTTAAAATACAAAATTAGATGATATTTTTTGTTCTAATACATTAACCTACCTTTGATACAGATATTCTTATTTCATAATAGAGAAGTTAGATTTTTTTTAATAAATGCTGTTTAGTTAAAAATATTTTATGGAGAAATGTAGACCCAATGCACAAAAATATAACTTTGCACCTTACACTTTGGTATTTCATTAAATGCAGTATTTATATTCCTAAATTCTTAAACCAACCATTGTCATTGTGATACTAAAAAGATTTATTAACTTTTAACGCTTAAACAGAAGCGGTAACACTATAAATATTATTTCTTTCATTGACTATACTTTGACAGATACATAACCTGAAAAGCCTTAAATGCCAAATTTTCAAAAGACTGCGTTCCGTACGTGGTCACGTGGTGGGACTTTGAGGTGTAGGGCATAGTACATAGATAGGTAGATATGTATTTGAAACATTGTTAAAAAGTTATGTAATAAAGACAATGCTATAGACCAATATAATTTTTTTCAGGTCAAGTTGAGCAATAATTTTTTCAAATATTGTCTATTCTTTTTTTAACTTTTGCTAGACTTTGAAGGTTAGGATATAATGAAACAATTATTGCTTAACTTACATAAAGATAACTTATATTTAATCCAAAAGTAAATATTGTATCGCCAAGAATTATAACATTTTTATCAAAAATACTTATTCTTAATTTAGGCATAGTGTATATTTTAATTGAGGGTGCTTGCACTTAAAATAATATGATAGTTTTTCTTGAAATAAGAATAAGTTTACCCTTGCACCTAATATGAAATTATATCCAAATAAGTATAGGTTAGTTCTTGCATTTAACTCTCTATATCCTTCAAATATAGAATAACTTTTTTTCCGTGTAGGTGATTTGCCAATTAGAGCAATCATCAGTTAATCCATGAAAACTAATTTCTATACCGTACCTTCATCTGGTCAAATTTTTCCATACCTTTGCCAGCAGATAAAGGTGCAGTACATAGACAATTTTCAAGATTTGATAGACTAACCTTAAATATTTTTCACCGTGCATATAGCAGCCTCTATTCTTTGGGCTGTCCCCTTTAATTGAGTCCGTAATATCTGTAAGCGTTGGAGTGTATCCTATTTCCGATAACCAGCCAAATTGGGCAGACAACGGTTTGGTAAAATCTGGAATATCACTTGGATTGTGCACTACAAGATACATCCCGGATGATTTATCTGGCATGCATCCAAATCTTATGTCACTTTTTTTCTTCTTTGTTTTCTTCCGCTTGCTTTTGGTGACATCTTTAACGTCTATTGCCATCGATGCTTTCCTTCCTGCTCCCAAAATTCTATGTGGATACACATCTAGCCCTACAAAAGTCTCAATATGTAAGTAAGACCACTTTTGCTTTTGCTAGGTTTTAATAAAGACCAAGAAATCGTTATTTAACTTTACTTGCCAAATTTTTCCCTTCCCGAATGTTTTGTTTTGTACATTGAATTGTGTACATCATAGTTTAGAACTTTTAGTTTTTTATTTGCACCCAAATTAGGTATTGTAACGTTTTCCCTGTACAAATCTTCCAAAGCTACCATATTGTAAGAAATACACATTCCAAGAGGTGTCAAAATTGTCTGCCAGCTTTTGAAACAGGGCTGGTTCCCCAAATCCATGGTACATTTGATAAGATTGATTAAATTTGCGCTACCCAATCTGGTAAATAAAATGAATTCATTAATATCGACATAATCAACATTTATTTCGTCATCATTTTCTACTCGATTCATCATTTGTAAGATGTATTTTTTTAGATAGTCCAATTTTGTGTATTCACTTTCTAAAAATTGTAAAGGGGCGTTTAAACCATTTAGGGTTACAAATAATTAATAATATCATTTGGCTTTATTTACAGAGAAAAATGATTGTGAGGTTAGTACCACATTTCTGGTGAGTAATTATTTTTCCGAATAGGGATAAAAAGTGTTTCTATGTTCCTACTATGCTACATTATTGATCTTGAAGTCTTAAAGATGGCAAAGCAGTTTTTTGTTGGACATTTAAACGTCTCAACTTATATAACTTATATAATATATTTACAAACCTTGTTTGTAATACCAGGAACATATATCAAAATTCATTTCAAAACTGGGCTTTAGGCAGATTGTTAATGCCGGGGCAGGTATTGCATTTACCGGATAGTTATTTTTATTCACAACATTATGAATGGGTTGAACTTGGTATAATTGGATCATGTTTATGAACATCACAAGAAGTGCCATAATGCATACCAGAAACGCAAAAATCCAAAATAACCATTCGAGGTTAGAACGCCCTCTGTAGAAGCAATACATTAAACCCTGAATGCTAGTGTTCTTCTTAAAGTCTCTCCAATAAACCATGATTTATATTTATCTTGAAACTGAAAGCTGAATCAGAAACTTCACAAATCTTGACTATTTTTGTATTTCCATGGTTACAGACATAAACTCAATAATGTTAAGTATCGGGTGGTCCCATAATGTTGAATTGCACTGTTCTTTCAATATGCAGTGCCCAGCTGTTCTTGTATACACGGTGTGCATGAACAAAGTTTGTCACATAAAAATGCCGCCAAAAACTGATTGCAGTTTCTTGTTCGGGACCCTTTGGTGACTTAAAAATGATATTTACCAAAATCCTAGCTGCTCCTCTTTTCGACATTTTTTTTAAATTCATATTTTTTTTTAAAATTTTTGTTTATTTCAAAGTCTAATTTGACAGAGTACACATTTGTATACCGATTTTTATAAAATTAGAGTATATTATTAAGGAGACTTAAAGAATACTTTTTAATACTGTTCACATCATTTGATTTTTTTTTAGATATTTCTACGTTTATCAGGTTACAGAATGGCATTCTTATTAACCTTTTATAAAAAAAATAGATTTTTAATAAAGTTAAATAAAATATCGCTTAGAGAATATTTAAAATGTTTAATTTAGGCTTTTTAGTAGTTTTCAATTTTGAACGAAAAACTGGTTACAGTTTTTTGATCTGCACTCTTTGGAAATTTAAAAACGATATTTACCAAAATTCAAACTGCTTTTTTTAAATTTGTTAAAAAATAATTTTTTTATTAATTATTTGTTTATCGCAAAGTCTACCTTTGCCAGAGTACAAATTTGTACACCGATTCTTATTGATTGCAGTTTCTTGTTCGGGACCCTTTGGTAACTTTAAAATAATATTTAAAATCCTAGCTGCTCCTATTTTCGAAATTTTTTGAAAATTCTTAATTTTTTTTTAAATTTTTGTTTATCTTACCTTTGACAGAGAATACTGCATCATTAGATTTACACAGGGTTAGTCAAAAATCACTTTTATAAAATCACTCTATAATAAAAGCATATAATGCACAAAAAAGATTTATCTCTAAAAAATTTTATTTTATTTAATTTTATTCAAAATCAATTTTTTTTATAAAGTATTAATAAGAATCCCATTTTGTAGCCTGATAAACATAAAAATATCTAAAAAAACATGGGAGGGTATATATCTTTTTTGCGTGTTATGCCAAAATCATGAATTTACGCTTTTGCTTTATTAAAAAAAGCCATTTTTGGCTAACCCTATATATATTAAATGATGTGCACAGAATAAAAAAATATTCTCCAAATCTCCTCAACAATATAGGTACTCCAATATTATAAAAATCGGTGTACAAATGTGTACCTACTCTGTCAAAGGTAGACTTTAAGATAAACAAACAATTAAAAAAAAATCATGAATTTTCAAAAAATTTCGAAAAGAGGAGCAGCTAGGATTTGGTAAATATCATCTTTTGATACTTGTTATTGTTATTATTATTATTGTATTTATCAATTAATATTTTTTTTTAATTATCTGTAGATATTTAAAAAATATTACTGTTTAATAAAGTTTTTAATTGTTAATATTTTTTAAATAAATTTGTAATTTAATAAATTATAAATTAAATTTATAAATATAAATAAATAAAAAGAGCAAAAAGGGTAACAAAATTGTGTTTAGAAAATATTTTTGTTTAAATCCTTTAGAAGAATTTTAAGTTTTAGACCATGTTCAACTTATTTTCTGCTTTTAAGTTTTTAAATTATAAGCTTGTTCTTTAAATAAAAACAGCAGGTTTTGGGTAAAGAAAACAACAACAAGGTGTAAGGAAAATTTTTTTTTGAGGGGATTTACTATTGATTATTTTTGGGCCCAGAAATATACTATTAAACATTAAAGCTCCTGCCTTTTTCGAAGCATTCCAGTTGTCCAATGAATGGTAAAGAAATTTTGCTTATTTTAAAATTCAAAAATTATTCAGTTAAAATGTTTAAAAAAAATAATTTTTTTGTGAATTCACTTAAAAAGTTTTATTCTCATAATCGCAACCTTTAAAAACATTTTAATAAAAGTGGTATAATTATTAATATTGTTATTTAAGACTTTTATAGATTATTATATAGTTATTATTATATAGATTATTATATAATCGCAACCTTTAAAAACATTCCAATAAAAGTGGTATAATTATTAATATTGTTATTTAAGACTTTTATAGATTATAGATTAAGATTAGTTTTTTAGGCTAAACATAATTTTAAAAATATTTCATTATTCAATAATTATTATTGTGTTTATGTTAATAATAAAATAGAGTAGAGTCTGTACTTTTAGGCAGTTAAAACTTAAAAAAAAATGTATTATAATTATAAACAGGGTGTTATGTAATTAATGTTACATATTAAAATACTGAATACCTTTTGACATAAGGAATAAAGGAAAAATATTTAAAAAAACATTTTTCCAAAGATAAAGAAAAAATATGCATTAGAAGTTTTTTATATATTTTGTGATACGCCACTGGTTACACACTTGTTTATCTCTGCACACCTGTATTTTGTAAGTACATAGATACCAACCAACAAAGTAGCTATGCGTTGCCAGATGTAAAAAATTGTTACTAAAAATTTTTCTTGCAAAAAATAAATAAAAACTCAATAAATACAAAAGTTTTATGCCCTTAAAGCTCTAATACCCTTCTGTATTTATTTACTGATCCAGCTATTAGCTTAAGCAATGATTAGAAAATTTAGTACCTTTGAAATTTGAAATCCATAACCACAAAATTAATTTTTTCATCAGTTTTTTTCTCTGTTTACTCAGATGAAATTGGGACCAGTTCACAGGTTAAACTTTAAACATTTAATTTGTGTAAATAAATCCAAAAGCACTTCCCTTAGTTAAGATATTTACAATTTGAAAACATAACCTAAAATTTAAAAGAAATGCACTAGATTCTGTCATAAAAGTTGGCAGATTTTGTTTGAATTTACCTTCAGTACAAAAATGAAATAATCAACAATTAATAAAAACGCCAAATTGACAATTTGCATTGTTAATTTTGTCATTTTTGTAATTAAGCTAAATTTAAACAATGTTTGTCAACTTTTTTGAGAGATTTTGGAAACACTGTTACCAACCATAACATAATAAATCCACCAGATTAACCTAAAGTTCCTAGTCGATCAGTGGCGTACTTTTTGGTAGGATAAAGTTTATTATAAATTATTTTTAGACTTTGGAATTGGAAAAAAAAAGTATCAGGTGCTTCTTTATGGACCCTAAGGAACAACTCATTTTAATATATAACATTAATTACATAACACCCTGTATATATATAGGGTGAGTCATTTAACTTGAAACTTTGAAATATCTCAGTTAGTATGCATTTTACGAAAAAATGTTTAAAATAAAAATTAAATGGTTCGAGGGGGGAAATCAATCAGTACCAAAATTGGTCCTCATACTCTCCTTTTTATAGGGGGAACAGGGGGTAACTTTAAAATTTCCAATAGAACACCCTATTTTGTATTGCAGATTCGGATCATTCGACCAAAAATAGGTAGATTTTGTCAAAAACATTTTTTCATATTTGTAATAGATGGCGCTGTAATAAAAAAAAATCAGTTTTGTTTAATTTTTCTTCTGTATACGATTCTACAATAATTTTTCTATAAAATACTTGTTGGGTAGCTCAAAACATTTTTTATTTTTCGAATTTTTATTAAATTAGGGAAAAAATTAAAAAAAAATATTTTTTCGTTACACCTTATATTAAAAGCCTTTTATTCGGTATTTTAATATATTACATTAAAAACATAACACCCTGTTGATTTAAAAATAAGCAACATTATTTTCTTCTGGACATATTGATAAAAAAAGATGCAAATGCATAAACTCGTTGAAAAAGCTAGAAAGATTGGATTAACATTTTGTACAGATCTTTTTTTAATATACCTACATCCAAAACCATCCTATAGTCTACATTAATCATTCCAAAAAATGTTAAACCCTTAGAATTATCGCATGCTACTAAAAACATAATATAAATTTTCTTATTTTCCATATTCCAAAACAGCCATGGGCATTCCATGAGCAAAGCCTTAATGTCTAATAGCTAAAATGTTGAAACTTTATTTATTTATAAGGACATTTAATTTGGTATCTTTATTTTACCTTGTTTGTTAGTGTTTGGCCCAAATTCACAAAAATATAACATAGCACAAACACAGGAATCGTGCATAAAAGTGAAGCAACCACTTTATACCCCTAAAATTTTAAATACAATAATAATTTTATGCCAAGTTTAGTATTTATTAGATAATAAGTTTAAAGAGAAATTTATAAAATTAAATTTTTTTAACTTATAACAATTGATAGTTAAAAATATTTTATAGCGGATAAATTTTTAATCCTTAAATTATCACTTTAAAATTTAAATGTTATGTGAGAATTTTTGTATTATTTAAATTACTAAAAATTTAAAGCAATAATTTTGTAGAATAAAATAATAAAAATTTTTAAAAAACAATATTTTAAACTTTTATATTTTAAATATTTTTTGATTATCAATAAAAAATTTAACTTTTTAAACCATTTTGGTAAAAATTGTTTTACGTGTTTTTATTTCAAATGTCTCGATACTATTTTTAAATACTAAACAAATTAACCTTTTTTTAATTTAATCTAAATAATTTTATAATACATTTATTCATGATAAAATTTTGCTCAAATAAATTAAACTTATAGTATAGATTTAGAATATTGCAAATTTTTTACATACTTACACGAAGAATATATGTAATGGAGGAAACCAAAGTAACACAGGTAGTTAAAAAACTTATTAATATTAAAATTTTTGTGCTTTCGTTAAAAGAACCAATAAACCTGAAAAACATAATAAAAATGCCTTGGGTTATAAGTATGCTTGACATATTTGACAGATAATATTATGTACATAATACTGAGTATACTCAGTATTATGTATACATTATACATTATTATTAGTACACATTTTTTAGTGTAGGGGTAAAAATATTAGAGTTGATTTGTAAGTATAAAAGTTACACTATAG